CCCCACTGGTTACGATTTCTCATTGGAATTACGGGGATCAACTCCCGAAGTTAGTCACCAATAAGCGCTAGACTTTATTTTGAGATTGACTGGGTGATATTTAGCTGAATACCAAGGTAAGTGTTCCTACGAGGTGCCCAAAAATTGGCTCAAGACAGGTATGAATTTCTTTCCAAGGAAATGAAGACGAAAACGACCGAGCGATTATTCAATAAACAAACCAAAGACCCGAGTTTCACGCAAATTTCAAGATATAAAATTTATTTGAATCAAGGTGATGGCTAGTGAAATACAAACGTCAATTTGTGAGGTGTCTACGTGCATATCACTATCAAAAACGCCTGACAGAAAGGGCATCAGTGATAACAACAACATAGTTGTGTTCAATGTGAATAACGTACATTTTTCTACAGTGAAGTAGGTAGACGACACAAGATGAACGAATCTTCAAGTTGAAATAACGCATAAGATAACAGTTGAGGGGAGCCTAAGATAATTATGGACTGTGAAAGATAGCAGTATCCTAAGAAGTAAAATAACGAGCAAAATATGATTATAACCGAAATAAACATTCAAGGCTAAGATAATTTTGTGGAAGAATATGAATGACACTACTGATTATTAGTAAGTAGTACAAAGTTTTATACATAAAAGGTTGCATGTGTAAACTTGAGAGAGAGGGGAAATAGAACTCACCGTTTAAGAAAAGAACTATCACCAGGTCACATTATTCAGAATTCATCCCTTTTTGAGCAGTAACATCAAGCAAATACACAGCGATAGGATTTTGATGTAAATAATTGCGAAGGAGTATACAATGAATCAGTACTTTGGTATCTTAACAAATATAAGCGACAAGAAATGTACACTTTCGTAGGCTGTTTCCCACGTAACTGTACTGAAAGATCCATCAGCAATAAGTGTTACTATTTGACGTCAACTTTCGACTTATTCATATTCTTGAGAATGGCATTTTCAAGACGGTGCACCGATAGATAAGCATTTTAAAAAAATACTAAATAACTTACTTGCAGCATCTAGATATTTCTGGAGATATGTGGAGCGGTATGGTAGATAAATTGGCTGAAATTGAATTAATGATAAACTAGTATTTATACTAGGTGATGATTGAAGGTGAAATGAGAATTCGAACCGCCGCCAGATGCGAACCAGCGACCAGCGCGTTCCCCGTTTGATGCTCTACCAACTGAGCTACGAGGTCCAACTGCTGACCAGATTTTTAGTTCACTTCAATTACCAGGGGTTTTGCCCGACTACCATGTGGAGTCGTGACAAGTTAGTATCGCTTGTTAGTATTCACACTGGTTGCCTAGTCAGAACTTCTCATCCCAATCCAAATCTAACTGAATCAGAAAGGGGGAGCATCATATTGATTATCATTTTGACTACCCGAGACAGCCGTGGTTTGGCAGACTAGTATCGATACTGGGTGATGACTGACCTTGTAGCTCAGTTGGTAAAGGATAGGGTCAGAAACCCGGTGGTGGCTGGTTCGAATCTGGCTGCGGCGGAGACTTTTATTTCACCTCCAATTATCATTCCGTGTGGTTACTTATTTATAATATAAGTAGTGTAAATCGTCGTGCAAAAAGGAGATTGTAACGTTGCCTTGTGACTATAAATTTATCCTTAATTCGCTACTTGTTCTTCGGAAAGGGTCCTGCTCTCTGATATTGATTCACATATATGAGTAACTACCAGTCAGGTATGATGATTTCCTAATCATTGGAGTTAAAACTACTTTAACCGGCTTATGTAACTAGATGTCAGTCAGTGTTTTCGCATACAAAGTATATATAATACAGTGTAGCTGTCATTCAAAGCAAACATTGGTTTACGCAAGCATAATAATTCACTTACTTTAGTATTTTCTTCATCCTTATTCCTATCATTCTCTAAAAACCATTTACACCCTTCCTATCTACATAGATGACACTCTGGGTGCAACCCGAATAGGTCAATTGTAATTTCCATCAATGTAGCACGGAGTCGAATGGGCTTGGATGTCTACGAGAGTAAACACCAATTCTATCAAGAACAGGGCTATGTGTGCTGATGAATGCCGACAGTCTTTCTATCGATATTTGCTGACTACTGGACTACGCATAATCTGGTGACTGCTGAGAAGACCCTTACTAAGCCATCCACTGCCCCCACATTTATATCGTTTCTCCAACTGATGTCACTTCACGATGAATACCACCCTAGATATTAAGCAAGTGTTTATTCGGTTGAGGGTTTATAAAAGAAGAAAATTATCTAATGTAAGTCAAGTAGGAAAGGGAAAAGTTTTCTACGAGATAAAATTCAACTGGTCTCTTTTCGTTCTTGACAGACTGATTTTGCATCATAACAGAGATGCTGCTTGCTTTGTTCATAAGAAGTCTACAAGAGAACACAATATGCTGTATCATATGTGTTGTAATTAACCCCTTTTCCCACCCAATGATAGCAAAGGCAGACAGTTTGAATCTCAAGAAGGCTTTTTAAGTAAAATTCTCATTGGGCATCAGCATAGACCTGTGAACACTTTCATAATTAGGAAAGTGAACATTCTCAAACAAAAGGTATAGGGGAATTATTGATTAGAACCGATAAAATACTTCCTAGAGTTAGATTTCCATGTGATTATCTTGAGGAAGTTTACGATTTGGCATCTAATTTGAGAGAACTGATACAACATTGTATGGTGTGCAATGTTCAGTTTTATGAGATGACTAGAAGCCAGGTTCCTCACTCAGAATAATGCAGAAGTCTCAAGGTGATATTACTGTTACATTGTAGATAGGAATCAAAGGTGGCATAATGGAAAAATGGAAAATGTTATAAACACTTTGCATACATCCTATTCTCTTCATTGTTCAGATGCATTCAATTACATTTCTATCAGCCACCTATCGTATTTGACTGCAGTTATGCACAATACAGCTTTCAAACATCAGATCATGTCTAAATCTATCCGCTTGCAAGCCAGAGACGTGAACCAGTAGCTAGCCATCAAGCGTCCAATTCTAGAACTGTATTTCTTCGTACAAATGTGCCTAACATCCATAATAAGATCCATTTGTTCCAAGGAGTGTGCATTCTAAGTGAAAGAAGATAACCTGAAGAGCTAACCAAAGCTAGTGTCACTTAGAATGGTCCTAAACAAGAATTGATGATGGTGCAGTCCAAGGGAGACGCTTCGAGTGAGGTAGAGTAGTTAATAGAAAATTTTATCCCTGTCGTCTTTGCATATCTCTCAGTAGTCGGTTAAAGGATGGCCTACCTAATCTTAGCTCTTCATCTTGCATATATCAATTTAACTGTTCCTGCGGAATAAGTTACACATGGTGTACGATAGGGTAGGTGCGTCTCCAAATGCGGGAACATTTATCAGTTCGGTTTGGAAAAGTTGAAGTGAAAGTGGCGAGAAGCTCTGTTCTAGAGCACCTAGTAGCCACAGGGCATCTCAGAGATGCTAGTAAAGATTTCAGTGTCTCTTATCGTATTCCAACAGCGATACCGCTTGTAGCTCGCCGATACCTGTTTAACATGGCTGAGACTCTCCCAATAAGTTTGATCAAACCTGAACTATACATCCAGAAAAAACATGTCCAAGCGTTATGTCTCCCTTGGCCTTCAGTAAACTGAAGGCCACTCCTGCTTTCTTTATTAGTTATCTTCTCGTTTATCATCACACTATTCATCTGTATATATGTCAGCGTAATATTGACAAATTTAGGGATAAAAATCGATTTCCTCACTGTCCCTGAATCTCACTCTAGTTTGAAAGTGTATTTACCTCTAACTTGGCTTGTTTTTACGCCATACAAATGCATTTCATATTCGTCGAACCTGATGAGAATTTATTGGAAAGAATATTCTTTGTTCAGATTGACTTTTTTATACTGTAAATGTTTTACAATGCTTCGATTAAATTTGCATGATATCCGTTTGGACGTGTAGAGTAGAGATTTGTAGTAACCTATAGATGTGAATAACAATACTGATGAATAATAATAGATGTCGAGCAATTCAACCTAGTATAGGGACGCGAAATTACAAGTACCAACAAACAACGGTTGATACGCTTGGTACAGGAGGTGGCCTACGTGAAACACTTGCTTAGTCGATGACACTGGCACTTGGAGCTATGCTTATGGACTTTGAGTTTCAATGGAAACCAAATTACTCATTGCGGGTGCAGGTTCATTTGGCTGACGAGTCCTAAGTAGGAAGAAACGCGCATCATGCGTTCCGCTACTTGCCATCAAATAGACTACAATATGCTGAATAACACGCTTTTCTCATCTGTCAAGGTTTGTTTTGTGATGGGCACGAAAATTTGTCATAGCGTCCGTCGTAGTCATATGAACGGTATGACTCTCAGTTCCAGTAGAGTTTAGCATTTACTGACTGTACATATTGTTAACAATCCGCCTCATAGAAGAAAGCCGCCTTCAAAACATTCAACCCAACCAACTTAACCGCCAAATAGAAAAGTACCACAACTTTGGTACACTAAAACAAATAAATCCCAACAGAAATGGCGTGTTGAACACTTTCAAATCTCATGTTGGATAAACTAAACTTTATTTATCAGCTTATGATGTCGAAATGTTTGCATAAATTGTCAATAAAAATGTAAAATGTTTGAAAGAGGCTGTAAGAAACAGAGTATACTCCAAGTTGACTTTCTGTAAATGGTATTCATATTGTGAAAAACATTAGATTAGAATGAGAAAGCATTTCACAGTTTTTTTTAGACAAATAACAAGAAAAATAAAATGTGTATTTCTTTTCCAATGATGACAGAAAAAAATAGATAAGAATTGTCTGAATTGAAGAAGTTTAAAGTCTGAATCTTATTTGTCACCGTGGTAAATAAATGCATTTAGTGTTTGATTCTCTTGCTAACAGAACCAGCAGTATGAAAAAACGTTACATATGATGAAGAAAATTTAAAAAAAGTCCAACCAAGTTTTTTAAAATCATAATTATAATAATTCATCTTCTATTGAATTAATTTTCAAATTGTCTTTCTTTAAATCAATTAAATACTCGTCGTTCAATGGTTTCAATAAGTTAAGAGATTCAGGTGAATTGGTGTTATGTTTTTTGAAAATCACAGGTGCATCATTATCATTATTATCATCGCTATTATTATTATTATTATTATTATTATTATTATTATTATTATTATTATTATTATTATTATTATTGTCATCATCATCATCACCATCAAAAGTTTTGTTTAAGTCTGTGAATTCACATGTGGGAAATTCAAATTCTGGATGCAAGGGATAATCAGTCGAGTCTCTGTTATCCTTACAATTATTTTGTGTAAGAAGTTGATGAATAGACTTTCTATAATTTAAATGTGTTGATGAATTTGCTGAGATACCTTTATTCAACTCATAATTTTGATCAGATTTTAGTTCAGAATGTTGTTTTTCATTATTTGAATTATTTTGTTGAATTTTTTGAGCTGTTAATAATCCATTACGTAACAGGAATATATAGAAGAATTCAATGAATTCAATAAACACGGCAAATGTCATGCCAATGTATAATGAACACAATCCACCAATACGACTAACTAATGCATTTAATGTAAGAACTAGGGTTTCCGCCTTCACAATTGTATCATTACTCTTACGTTTCACTAATAAGTATGTATATCGATCACTGAAACCGTATGCTTCAGTCAAACTATCTGTTCCATACAGATTAGATGATATTGATGAAAGATTATCTGTACGAAAATAAGCTTGTAAATTATGCAAAGCTTTGTTGTTATCTTTCAATTTTTGTGCTTCTATCGGTAAACTGAAGACTTCATCAAGCGCTGCTGACGTCTCTTGACTCCAATAGAGTTGCCATCGTGTTGATCTCCAAGTAGTCACAGACACAGTACTCTCATAGTCAACACATTCACAACGTCTTAGGCATAGACCGTTATCTTCAAAAGATTTCTTTAAAATGGCTGATTTACTCAGTATATTATGTACACATTCTTTACGTGCAAATATATCAACAGTGTCCAATGTAGCATTATGCGCTGATATCAAGCGACCACAATAGGGTAGATTCAAATTTGGAACTTTTACACGTGGCAGATAAGCGTATAAACAAGAACATTGTTGAATAAGTAGATTTTGTAAATGAGTATTTAAGCATAAATCAAATTCATAATTGTAATCTTCTTCCAGATCTGTGTACTTGTGTTTTGGATCCTGGATACAAGGTTTACGTGGTGTTTGTTGATGTATAATTTTATTCGCTTCAAAATTCAATTCATTCATTCTACCCGGTTCAATTTGTATACCTTGACTGTCTAAATTAGCCAATTGACCGGGTTCATGAATAGCAACACGTAATCCATGGGCTTGTTCAAATAAATCTAAAAGAAAAGCTTGTCTAAATTGAACATCATAGTCTTCTTGTGGTCCTAACCAAATGATCAAGCCTAATTCTTGTACATTTCGACTATACTGTTGATTTACTTCAACAGTATGACAATTGAAATGATGTGGATGTGATAATTCTCGAACTATAATCATATGATCATGACAACCTGGTCCACCGATAACTAAATTTCCACCAGCATAACGAAATAAACACATATATATACTTTGATTACGTTCATGTCCAAGCCATTTTGGTTTTGGCCAGTCTAAATTTTGATAATACATTTTAACTGTATCGAATACAAATGCAAATAGACCAGCTTCAGGTGGAAATGATCGATTATTTAATTGACTTTCATTGAAATATAAATCTGCTGCATTACGTAACAGTTTACTAAAATATGTTGGTGAAATAATTCCACCTGTACGCCATAATTGATAGGCTTTACTTGAAAATGGTTGATGATTACAAAATGTGATAGCAGGAAAATCTGATGGTGCATCCATATCAACATATGTTTGTATATTTACAGAATAAGTACGATATTCATTGATTAGTCGAACAACAGAGAATATCAGAAATAAACTTGTAAAGACAAGATAGAATATCCACAAGAGTCGAATAAAGCTAGTCTGAGCTCTGACAATACGATTACATCCACGTATTGATATAGAGTCGAGGAAGAGAAGGAGATTTTCACGTAATTTTGCTAGACAAACTTTATAGCATTTTGTATTGTTCCTTTTTTCAGTGTTATCAATATTGTGAAGTTGTTTACTGCTGTTGTTACTGTTCCGCTTCTTCTTCTCTTCACCCTTGTTTGAAGACTTCATTGTTATCCTAGTACTAATTTTTATAAATTGTGTCTATGGATACCATTTGTTCACTCTGCTCTTTTGAGTGACCAATTATTGACTGATCTATAAAATAAGGAAAATATCAAGAAGATTGAGAGAGAGAGAGAGAGAGATCTGAAAGAAGTATGGGTTAGGAATTGTTGATCTATGAAAGGTAAAGAACATTGAATAGGAAGGATAACATTCAGCTATGGAACCGCTTTCCACTCAGTTGGTCGTTGATCCGTGAGATGTACTGCCTAAGATCTTTACTTCAGTGTTTCAGAAAAGGGGTATGTTGGTAACTTTTGAATAAGTCAAGAGAATTTTTGACCTTTTAAGTTTGCCTAATCACGAATCAAGACTAATTCGAGGCAAATGTTATCCCGTGTACGCAATAGACATACGTGACTGATTGAACTGAACTTCATGTATAGTATTCTTAACAGGTGGAAGTAAACGAGCAGAATATGAAATAGGAAAAACATAATCAACGAGGGGCTCTGAGAAGACGTTATGGACCTGGAAGTCACATTGTGTAGTTAGGTTGCCCCTCCCTTGGTTTTATGTGGACATGCAAGACATCCGGTATTGATCAAGTTGCATATACATTGTATGGAAGAAGGATGCCTTCCCAGTACTGTACGGGGGGTGAACGATATCTGGGAGGTAGTGGAGCAGTCCATGGGGTTCGTATTCAGCCGCCGAGAACAACGGTAATTCTACCAGATCTTTTCACGGGGCAAGCAAAAGGCTGCCAAATAGATTCAAACGGTGGATCAAAGTGTTTGCTACGCTTGCTGGAAGGTGGCGGTGGGGCTCAGTACTTCACAAGCACTTTAAGAATCCTGAGGCGGGTACGTCCTTCGCTTCAACGGGGTGCCACAGGAGACGTTATTACTTAAGAGGGTGACTCACAAATATAACAAGTTATGTGTTTTGCTTGCTGCTGTAGGCTGTCGCACGTTATATCCTGCTCCTACTGCCAGTCTTCCGGTGCACGGAGCAGAAGTAAAATATTGGTGCCAGAAAAAGCATAATCAGAATTTCGGTGCTTCATATATGAGCATAGACAACTAGTGGGGCATCCAGGAAGTCAACATTGAACTGACAAGCATTTCATACATTGAACATTGACTGTGCATTAACCATTCAACTGGTCATAACTGTCAGCCTCTTTTCCTTTCTCTCCGCATCCAGTCAAATATAACACTGCGTTCTATTCCTAATGGTATTTGAGTCCTAGTTCTTTTTACTCTGGATTTTCAAATCACATTTCTCCTATAATTTTAATAATCTCAAGTTACTCAGATGGTTTTTTAGTGATATTGTGTAAAAAACTTGTTTCTGTTCCAATTATTTGATTGTCAGCCTCATAAGTACATATTTTTTATACTGTTCATGTTTAGATGGCTTTATTGACTAGCCACACTTATGTATTCATACCCAGATGATTCAATATCAGTCTAGCTGTCACCTTCAGAGCATCTTTACAAAAGAAATGAAGTTGACACATTCTTCATCAGTATGTACATAGAAGTAGAAACTAATTTAGTGATTGAAACTGAGAAACTGACAGGAAAACTTAATATTCACAAAGAAAATGAATAGAAACAAAGCGAAACAAGAATTAATTCATTAATCAAATAAAATGTCTTTTTATCTCCCTAATACTCATCAGCCGCATACAGCTCAAAAATACAACCAAATTGCCTGAATTTTCAAGTGTGAGGGATACATCAAGTGCTAACTGGATAGAAGCAGTCAGTGGGAAGCTCTTTAAGTGTGTTGAAAGACAGTGCTCAAGAATCCTGAAATTCCGCGACAATAATAAGAGAATACTTCACAGAGAGAAAATGAGACAGTAACCAGTCGAATATAGATTCAAAAGGATGAGGGAGTTGCCCAAATCACCAGTAAACACCAAAACTCAGCTAGATAGAGATGGAGACATTAGGTAATCGAAATAACATGGACCAATCAGGCTTAAGTAGGACTATTCATAGTTTTTTGGGTGTACGGGGCTCAGATTTTAGATATCTGTAGTTGTAAGGGCTTTGGGTAAGCGTATTACATTTGACAATTTTTTATTCCTAAAGTCTTCAGGGATGTCCATTTAGTGTCCAGTTTCCACCAATTTACAGTTGGGAAACTTTTCCCCCCTTCAAGTACAACTTATTTTTAGAACACACCCATAAAATCGGGTAGATACATTTTTCATGATCTTTCATTTACAGTTATGAAAAGAAAAGAAAATGAATTTTCAAAGTAAATTCTACACGACAGTTGTACAATTTTCGATTATACAAAGTGGGCGAACATCTTTTAGTTTTAAGCAGTGAATTCATTATGCACTAATGAGTATAGCCAGTTACACATGAAATCTTCGTTTTAAAAGACTCATATTGAATCAGCTTTGAATAGGTGTGCCAAGTTAAGTGTGTTAGGTCTGACAATGTCTGTTAGTCACACTTAACTTGAACTGATTGATTTGAAAATTGGTTTTTTATCATAAAGTGACATGAGAGGGAGAATTTTTGTGAACTCAGAAGCAATAAACTGCTGTTTCCTCTGATTTTTGGAACTTTTCAACAGTGTGAACCCATAATATCGGAATTGGATTGAAGCCATATACATCAAGAGTCTCAAATTAGGAGTGGAAGGTAGTTGTTCAATGCTTCCAGGTTTACTATGGTTTTACAACCTATATCAATCCATGACTACATGCTATCTTCTGTAGTAACTGAAACTTTCATATACTTTGTAATGTTTTATAATGCTGGATTCCTGTTTAACTCATTCAGATTTTACGGTCACTTTGTCATTGAACTGTCAAAATTAAAAAACATTGTTCAAGAGTTCTGATCTCAGTAGTTTCATCAATTTTTGGCTGACTGAAGTACTGAATTCACCCCATACCCATTAGCGTGATAATCTGCTTCATTTGTTTCAGATGTATCTCTCTGTTTACAACAAATAGTCACAAATCTATAGTGTGTTCATTGATTTCAGGTTGGTGTCCATGACGGACTGACCTGCTGGTCACGAACCTGCAGGTCCTGGGCTCAAGCCCTGATGGGGTGGGATAATCGGTGCCGACTACTGAGTCCCCTACCAGGACGATTAGTTGTCCATTGCTTCCAGGCCCTCAGTGTTTTTCCAACTGATATCAGTCCGTGATGAGTACGAACCAGAAGTCAATAGATAAATCCCCAAAAGCCTCTAAGCTGAATTATTCTGGTGCTCATTAGTGACTCGCTTCGAGACGTTCTAATGAGAAGTCATGATCGGCGGAGCTAACCAAGTTCAACGTAAAGACAGTTACCCAACGACAGCACTGAATAGAGGTCGGACTACATCTTGAATTAACAGAAGTGGGGAATATAGACCATTGGGTTCTGGTCCAGTGGCTTAACGGTAACGTGCTGACAGCGGAACCTGAGTTCGATCTCTGGCAGAATGGGGTCATGGGTGCCGACTGGTGAATTCCCTACTAGGACAAAAAGGTAGTCCAGTGCTTTCAGGTTCCCAATGTTTCTCCAACTGAAATGAATAAATAAATCCTCACAAACCTACAAATCCAAGGTATATTCGCTGACTGGTTCACAAAACATTATATTCAATTTAGTACTATTTATCAGTTTTGAACTAAGTTGTGTAGTTATCTTAATATGACCATGGACAATAAATTATGCCCGAAACATAATCCAGTAAACAGTACTGTTACATTGTGTGATAAATCTAATAAATCAATAGAAAAAAAAGGAGTTTACAGCTTTATTCAATTGTTCATCATCTGATATATTTGTGCATTTAGCATTTGTGTACAAATAGATTATTAAATTATCCACTTTAAATCTTTACTGCCACGTTCACCTAATTAGATTCTACAAAAACATTCATCTAAAAACTCCACTAATTATAAAACAGTTGTTATCGTTAAATGATATACTTTTTTATATTTAAAAAGGTTAAATAATGAGAGATAATAAGAGAAAGTAGTTCAGCAACAAACATTCAGTTTTTATTATTTTCTCATTTTGATTATCTGATGAATTATTTTAACTGTAATGAATCAATATGAATAGTGTATTCGGACCATATTTATTCCACCAATCAAAATAGCAATTCTCTGCCTGGTTATTGATAACTGTGTGTGATAAGATGAGGGTAGGAAGTGACCAATCAAATGCTTGACTGTTCAATGCTCATTGAACAACTCCATATAAGGCTAAAGTTTAAATTAACTATAACTAACTATTGACCTCGCTTGGTTAACTAGTTCACTAGTTATTGGCCGGTCCTATGCCTGGGTGAAGCGGGAAGGTTAAGCGTACAGCTAGCAACCCTACCCCGTAAAACCAATCAACCCCTACAAAAACTTTAAAGCACAGACAAAATATAAAAAATAAAAATAAATTGATTCCTCCCTGGAATCGAGGAGACAAAATGACGCCGGTTGGTGAAAGTCTTCGGGAAGCTAATTGGCCGATGTGTCTTCTCTCGATGAAAGCGAAAGTAAACATGGGGACATGGAATGTCCGAACCATGTATGGACCTAGCAGATGCAGATGAAGTGAAGAAGGAGTAATTCTACAGACAACTGCAATCAGTACTAGACAGGACCCCACCACAGATGGCGACATCAAAATTCTAATGGGTGGGGCAACATGAATGTCAAACTAAGAGCGGACAACACAAGAAGAGAACTGATCATGGGTCAAGAAGCAGTGGACGAATTGACGAATGAGAGTGAAGAACTGTTTGGAGACTTCTGTGCATTCAACAGTTTGGTGATTGGAGGCAGTGTGCACAAACACAAGGACATTCACAAGGCAGCGACATGGATTTGATTTCACCACTCACCAGGACACACTAAAATCGACTTCAACTCAATGTGAACAAAGTGGAGACGCAAGTGGAGACACAAGATGAAGAAGGGGAGCAGATGTATGTGGTTCAGACCACTATCTTGTGCAAGCAACCTTTGAAATCAA